GGGGGGGGGGGGGGGGGGGGGGGGGGGGGGGGGGGGGGGGGGGGGGGGGGGGGGGGGCTCAGTTTCGAGTTTCCTTACCTCCCTTCGAGGACACCAAAAGTAACCGCCGAACCAACGAATCGCAGTTGGATAGACCCAGGTAGCAATATTGGATGATCATTTGTACGGCACCTACCCTCACTCCTGTCCCAATAATTCGCCACTGTCAACGGTTACCTGAGGGTGAAACAGGGATAACTGGGTTATTCGGCACCATCTCATAACAATATTGTTACATCGGCACGTTGCAAACGGCTAGGGCCACTTCAGAATGAGGGTAAGATGACGGTTGTTATGTTTCAAGGCAACGACCCTTAAACTATCTCCGTAGTTATTCCGTAGACACAAGGGCTCACATTGTACGGCAGGTTACGCTTGAGTGTGGGCCACGTCTCGTGGCGGCTACAGTATGCTGCAAAACAGTGAATCCCGTGTTCTCGCCTCTATGCCGCACTATGTCGGTATATGCTCCCGTGGAACTGTCTTGTCCGATCAAAGAAGCAGTTCCCAATTGTTTCTGGCGCTGCCGTCTCTAGCATAGCGTGATTCAGGGTAAATATTTAGGTCACACACACGCGCCGACCGAATTATCATGGAAGGAGCGAGCGGTGGCGCACGAGTTACGGGCCTAGCCAGTCCACGCCAACTCATCAATGCCGACCATTCTTATCAGAGCCCGAACATCCATCACCAGGATTGGGTTCAGAAGGAAGTTCACAAAGCCTCCGCTCCTCCAGCACATTCCTCTATGGAATTTCGCAACACCTCAGTTGTAGGCAGGATAGTACGCTCATTCCTTCCATGATGATTCGCTCGGCGTGTGTGGGTGTGTGTGTGTGTGTGTGTGTGTGTGTGTGTCCTTCCACCTTTGCACCGCCACGAGCTCGCCGCCACACATACATCCGCACTACATGTATTTCATCTACCTATCAGCCATGCTGCTTGCCACCATGCTCGATCGGTCGCGTTCCGAGCGCGACTCGCATTTCAGAATACTCCGCACAATAATAATACAATAAGGAAATGGATTCCTGCGAAGGAAAAGGCCAATAAAAGGGTCCCACTTCCCGTCAGGTCAGGGTACGCTTCCAAAATCACGACACAGTTCTGAAGAAAAGTAGCCGTGGCACGGTATACCCCGGGTAATTTCGGGACACTGCAGGGTGAAAGCGGACGCTGACCAATCAGTGGGGCTCACTTGATGCTGCCTGTCAAATACTTGCATGTACCCAGCTGGGTCGCTTTTCGACCAGGACATACGTACGCCGTTGTGTCGTTTGCGATGAATATCCTCTTGACAGAAAACAGTTTACTCCTGGACACTCAATGGACGCCGCCCCCTCTATGCCATGCTTTGTCGAGTACGTGACGGCTCAAATAGAAACACACGCGTGCGCACACCTTACTCCGAATCTCCGCCACATCGAGAAGCCCATATCTAGAGGCCAGCGAATCCTGTGTGGGAGAAACGGTCGTCCTCCCGCCGCGGCAGAAAGGAAACCATCTCCAACCTGACGAGCGCGCAGTCGCAGCGATCGAAGGGAGGGGAGACAGAAACGTTAAGCCCGGTATACCACCGGTATTCTTCCCAAGCACTGCTGTAAAGACTTAAATACACCCCCTTCGACTACTGTGGAATTATCTCCAAAGGGGTAGTCTTGTTTTGATTGTAAATATATTGTACATATTCCAATCCGTTAAGGATTGGTTTCAGCTACGGAAAAAAAATACCTAAAAATTTCACGGCATCGGTTTCTTGACCGCGATTTCTTGACCACTTCCGATATATATCGGCTCGCGAAAGCTACGACCACGAGATCGCGGTGGTGCCTTCGCGCGACCTACGCCTCGAGGACCCCGTCGGAGGAATTTCAATCAAAGCGACACCGGCGCCAAACGCAAGCATTTTGCCTCCACCAGAACCAGTGTAACGTCTTTGCAGTGTGGCTGCCAAATTCCCCCAAGTCACAGGCGCATGCATAGGCGCCTCGCGGGTCACCCCTTGCATTTTTTCGCCGCGGCATTTTCCGCAACCAAGCAAGATACAGCCCTATGCTAAACACGGTTCGATGCGCTAGGAGAGAATAAGGATGCCACGCGAGTCTCGGCAAGTACGGTCACGAGGCGAGTGAACAAGGCAACGAACACCGTTTCGGCCGGTTTTCGGGTCCATTTGCCCTGCACAGCCCAGCACACGAAATTATTGGCGCATCGACAACTCCACATCCTTCTTACGAACGTCCACGAAACTCGGACAGCCAACGCGAACAATGTCCACACAGCTGGGTGTCAATTTTCAACGCCATCCGACCTGGGCGCCGCCCGCGACCGAATTTCGTCATCCCTACGCTGACCTCTCCTGCCGCAAAAACATCATACCGCATGATTTCGCAATTCCTCAGCACATACTAATCCCGTCGACACAAATTTGACATCGATGTAGAGCTAGAACTACACTGTGTTCGATGTCGATGTCTTTAGTGCATCTTCCTGGTCGGATCACGACGTACAAGCAACGGTTGCGGTAGGGGCTGACGCAAAATGCAAGGTATGGAGCAAGGCGGTGTAAACATCCCGTCACGCGCCCCCGTCCAGTGGCTGTCGCTTGGTTGCCTCTTGCCCCATGCACAAATCGTCTCAAAAACGCTGCAACTGGCGTTTCGGCATCATTTCGCTGTCAATTGGCAAAGCAGCTCCCGAACATGAGCATCGAAAGGGCTACGTGCGCATCCCTGTACATTGGCCTCTTCACCCTAGGCGACGAAACGATGTGCACCAACCTGCATCTCAGCAACCTCGATTTTTCGGGATTTTCAAGGTTTTTTGCTCTTTTTCTCCGCATCTCTCGACCGGAGAGGCAGTCATGCCCACCTGTTTTCTAATAATAGCCAACCTCTCACAAACTACCGCATTGCGATACAACAATCCTACCTGCATCTAATGTGCACATAGAGTGTCGGCCGTGCTTGATACAGCTCGAGCGTACCTGTGTGCGGACACACTGCTGGTTTTTGTCAGTGCTTGTGTGTGTCTCAACTGTCGACACTCTGTACTCAAGTATGTAGTATTTTTTTCGGTGCATCAGCACGCCAGCGTACCCGTTTCTGGGCGATCTTCCAGCTCCGGCGCGGACGTGGGAATTGCACGCAGACATGCGTATGTACAGCAGCAGATCCGCCGTATATACTACGATACAGCAGTCCTACCTGCATCGATTTTGCACATAAAGTGTCGTACAGCAGCAGTAGAGATCCGCCGTACTACAGCAGTACTACTGCTGTAATCTACACATGTCAAGTCTTTGCACAGCAGTATACACTTCTCAGCAGTAAACACTTCTCCACGGAATATATATGCGTCTCCAGCCGGCCTCCACAGGTAAAACGAGGCGGTCACTAGACTAACTACACTACCGCAGCATCCGCAAACAAAGTGTGTGGTTAGTGGCTGAACCACTGTTTGTTGTCGGTAGACACTGACTGACTGACTGCTGTGTTGTTTGGCAGGAAAATTAAATACACACAGAAACAGAAGATAGAGGACTGCTGGTGTGCTGTAGGGTAAAAGCTAGGCGTCAAGAAGCAGCCACTCACTGCTGTGAAGGGATCGTTCCGGAGCGCACCTTTATTCGTCACCCACGACCTCGAGACAGACGCAAACCAACGAACAACGAGCAAGCGTGTAGCAGAGGACTCTGCGCATAGAGAGAGAGATGTGTGCGCTATCGCTTCCTTTTTCTGTTTAGTCTTTTTGCCGTGCAGTGCGCCCCAACTCGGGCTCCCGTCATTGGATTGTGTTGTTGTATACTGAAGTACCGGGGACCCTCAACGGAAGCGCACGTTCCGCTGGAACTGCGAGTCGTTTCGTCAAGCCGTCACACACCAAACAAATTACAATCCGTTCAAAGGATCAAAGGAAGGCGGACCTCGGATTGCAATTTATTTTCAAAATAACGGTAGTGTTTCGATTTTTTGCATCTGCTCTTTCAATGTTTGAGTGCACGCCCCCAGTTGAGGTGCAATTGTAGCTGTGTGCTTAGCGGTCCCCCGACACCGACTAATGTAGTACAAGTCTAAAACAGCATGCGTACAGTTCAAACGTATGCATATCAGCAACTTTAATACCATCGTTCTGCTGTATCGGAAATTTACTTCCGGTCCGGATAATTGGGCAGCAACCATCTCTTGAAAATTGTAGTCCCCGTGCGCCGTGCGCAGCACTCTTGGCGGGTGACCCAAAGATAATTGTTTTTTTTTATGTAACCGTGGAAATAGACCGTCGGCATGTACTGCCGGACACAGGCGAACACATAACCGACATGCGGACTGCTGAAGCAACGCGTGTCGGCTGAATGGCCGATTACACCGTACGTGTATCGCTGATCACGCAAAAGTCGCGCAAATCCCTAGCCTCACGGAAAGCGTGCGGTATGCCTGAGAGTACACAGACAGGCGGATTGATAAACAAAAAAACAGCAACAAGGTCAACAACCCACAAAACAACTGCTGTGACACCTCACCACAAAAACCGCCATGTCTGTACGATGCGCCACCAAACCCTCAGTGGTGTTTGTTTGTGTTTGAGGCTCGACGCCATGTCCACAGAATGTAACAGGTGAACAGGTTGTATCCTTTGATCCTCTACAAGTGTTAGGTTGCATCCTTTGTAGGCTTTTCCCCCGTAGGCGATCACCGAAAACGCCGAATTCCGAAATATGTCGCCGAAAAAAAAAACTGCCCGCCAAAACAAAACTGTCACCGAAAACCAAAAAGTAGCGCCATTTATGGAGGGGGCTCCGCCGAATCATGGGTTGAGGTCGCCGATTGAGGAGTAACCAGAAACGGGTATACCCGGTTAGATTATCACCATTTCAGGGAATACTTGGAAATCAAGACGACACCAATCTCCGACAGCATCCGCCGTAGATCGCGGCGAAACCAATAAACCGCTGTCTGTTTCCAGTGTTTCCTGTGCCTCGGAAGCATGATGCACGAGGCATGCCGTGCCCGTTTTTCTCTCTCTCTGTGCCTCTCTCTGTGCTTTTAGTGATAAGTACCACACCGAAGTACTCGTGCATCAAGCGAGTCCGACCCTCTGTTTAGAAGGGCCGGTATCCTGTGGAGGCGGTGCCCATGAACGATGAACGAGCGAGCGTTGTTGGTGGTTTGGTTGTGGTTATGCATGTGTGGTACACGGTATGTGCGGCACACGGTTTTTTCTGCGGGTTTTATGCTAGAGCGTCGGGCGCCGGGATTGTATGACCATTTCTGGGTACAAAATTGACCTCTTCCGGGTAGACTTCACCAGTAACCAATATCGGTCACAACAGAGGGTCCTAACTCCAGCGGAAGTTGTACCTGCTGGAGTTTTCTTCAGAAATGGGTACAATGGTTTTTCGGACAATCAGCTGACAGCCTGGTGGTGCAAGCGTGTTGATTTCTAACTGTACCCTAAAGTGGTGATAATGTACGCGGGTATACCCGTTTCTGGTTATTGGTCTCGCCGATTCTCGCCGACTAATTTCACGGTGCCCCTGCTTGCGACCCCCGGGAGGAGACACCTTGACACTCACACACTCACACGGCTACACACACACACAGCTGAACGGCGGTGCGATGACGTCGCCTCTTACCGGTATGGAAGCCTACTCTGGTGGTAGTAGATGGGAAAATAGCAGTGGCGACCAGGATTCGGAGAAGGAGGAGGTGCAATTTGTCGGTCGAACGACAAGTGCCGCCGCTGGCTTTGTTACGGTCACATGGCGTTCTGGAAGGACAACAAGAAAAGGCTGTCTACGTGGCACGCCTTGGTGTTGGATGTTGCTCTTTTGCAACCATCCTCTGCGTTCATGGAACGAGTGCTTTCCATCCTGCGGTANGGAGGAGGTGCAATTTGTCGGTCGAACGACAAGTGCCGCCGCTGGCTTTGTTACGGTCACATGGCGTTCTGGAAGGACAACAAGAAAAGGCTGTCTACGTGGCACGCCTTGGTGTTGGATGTTGCTCTTTTGCAACCATCCTCTGCGTTCATGGAACGAGTGCTTTCCATCCTGCGGTATTGCTTTAATGAACGGCAGGAGCACGTGTACAGCGACCGTATTTGCGCTTGCGCACTGCTCAAGTACAACAGAGGCCGGGCCCAGAGTAGCAGCTCAGCAGAGAAAACGGGTAGCGCCGAAGATGCCAACAGCGGCGGCGGCGGTAGCGACCAGAGCGATGACAGCGATGACGAAAGCGACTGATGACCTGTGTTTCAGTTAGTTTCGTGTAGATGTCATACTTGTTCGTAGTTGGTGGGTCAGTACCTGTCCAGATTTGCATGTTTTTGCCCGGACGTGGGCGTGCATGCCATGAGTAACGTCGAAGTATCGAAGCATCATAGTATTCCATTTCGTTGACTTGTTTGATAACTGAGGGCTCGGAAATTGCATGTACACACCAGCGTATACGTGCAAGATGTAGTTTGTAGAAAAATAAGAGATGGACGAAGGACACATCATTTCGCTTTTCGC